CCTCCTCCTCCTTCCCTATCGTTTTTCAGTTGTTTTTCATCTAATATAAGGGTGCGCTGACCACGGGCTGCGTCCTGGCCTTCCTGTTCCTGTCCCCCCTTGTCAATTATTTGTATTGTTTTTATTGTCTATTCATGTTTTTTTCTTGGAACGGGTCGTACAAAACTACATTTCGTATCACCTTCCCTGGTGCTTATGACAATAAAGAGATTCTGATTCTGATAAGAAAAGAGTGCCAGGGGGAACCTGTAAGAGAGGGAAACCATAGTGCAACACTATTTCATGTCAGATAAGACTGGAATTACTGCCATTGTAGTAGTTCCAAATCAATCACCATGTGGCAACGACCTTTTGCGGTTACACGGCAGGTGGGGAATGACAACTATTAGGGGAGGCCCAAGAATGGACCGGTGGCATGAAAATATATCACCTTAACCCGTTGAAGGCCAGAATCAATGACGGCAGTGTGAGGCAGTGTTTGAATATTGTTTGCTATTTATTACTTCTGGGGTCGTTGACAAGATGCTGGATTCCCTGGTTCGTTGGATATTTTTGGGTATTTTTTTAATCACAAATTTCTCAATTTTTGTTGGCTAAATCAAACATTATTTTAGCAGCAAGTTGCAAGTTACTTTCTTAAAATCAGAAGTTTACATACACTAGGCTTACTGTGCCTTTAAACAATGTGGGAATGCCCAGATGATGATGTCATGTCTTTGGAAGCTTCTGATAGGTTAATTGACAACATTTGAATTAATTGGAGACACACCTGTGTGCTGTGTATTTTAAGGAAGACCTTAAACACAACGCTTCTTTGTGTAACAGCATGGGAAAGTCTGAAGAAATCAGCCACGATTTCGGACAGAATCGTGCACTTGCACAAGTCTGGCTCATCCTTGGGTGCAATTTCAAAGTGCCTGAAGGAGCCACGTTCTTCAGTTCAAACAATTCTACGTAAATATAAACAACATGGGAATGTCCAGCCATCAATCAATCTGCTCAGGAATGAGACAGGTTCTGTGTCCCAGAGATTGGGGTTTGGTTCAGAACTGTGCGTATCAACCCAAGAGCAAAGACAAAAGACCTTGTGAAGATGATGGCTGAAGCTGGTGTTTCATTATCCACAGTGAAATGAGTGCTGTACTGACATGGACTGAAAGGCCGCTCTGCCAGGAGCTCTGCCATTACTCAAAAAGAAACACACACACACAAAAAAAAACAGATTACAGTTTGCAAATGCACACAGGGAAAAATCTTAATCTTAATTTTGGGGGACATGTGCTGTGGTCGGGCAAAATGACCACCGTTACATTTGGAGGGAAAAGGGGAAGCCTGCAAGCCTGAGAACACCAACTGTGAAACCTGGTGGTATCAGCAAATGGGTCTTCCAAATGGACAATGACCCAAAGCATACTGCCCAACTGGTTAGAAAATGGCTTGAGAAATGATTTGAAGTCAATGTCCCGATCTCAATCCTATTGAGCATTTATGGGCAGAGATGAAACGACATGTGCGTGCAAGGCGACCTACAAATATGGAACGGTTAGACCAGTTCCGGC